CTATTCTAAAAAAAAAAAAATCTAAACCAAAGAAAATTTAAAAAATATACATATATTATAATTATAAATTTTTGGTAACTGTGTCAAAATAAACCCAAAAAAAAACCGACAGCGAAAAACAAATCTGCAAATATTTACAGTAATAGAAAAAAAAACCAAAAAAAAACTATAAACTTTTCATGTGATGTTTAAAATTAACATATATACACACATATACATGTAAATACTATACGTATATAAATAATATTTAAAATGAAAAAATACAAAAAAAAAAAAACCTTTACTATCTATACTTATTTTGGATTGTATTCCACATATATATAACAGACATATATGTGTATATATATATATACATAACTGTAACCAAATCGAGCAACAAACTTTAATTACGAATCAACGATATTATTCCACACTTTTCGTTGCGAACCAAATACAAATCTTAACTAATAAATGGTTTTTCATTTCTGGTATCGGATTTTCGGGAGCTAACTTCAGAAGATTGCTATGCCCAAGATTTTATTTTAATTATTATTACTAAATTGTTTTCTACAAAGGCAGGCGTCTGTATTAACTTAACTGTGTGGAGCTCTAAGACATTGGAGTATAATGATAAAATTGGAGGGTATATTTGAAAAAAAATAATGCGGTTATGGACGGATTTAAAATGATCCCAATCAAATTGAACTGGCGATTGCTAAAAAACGGTATATATTTTGCATACTCTACGTTTTTGTTTTAGTAATTTGTTTTAATAAACGCAAATGGGGGAAAAGAGATTACACACAATCAATAAACTCATTTTTACTTATTGAATGGATATAAAATATTAAAATATATAATAATAAATTCAATAAAATAAATTACCTTAAAGTTTTCTTCGATACTAAATTTATTTAGTTCACTGTCACTTAATCGTAATGAGTTACACAATCGTCAACTCCTATTAAAACCCATCGATGTAAGAATCCGTTTCTTGGCTCGATTTATATACCTAAGATACCTCTTTCTAGACACTAATCTACTTCGAGTGCCTGTCCTTTAGACAGCAATCTTCAGCATTACCGAAATATATAAATCATAAAGGCTAACATAAGAGACAAGTCGTTCGCCTTTTTAATGGTGATTATTGAGAGATTGCTGTCATCGTCATGGTACTTCTCCCCAATCATGATTTCGGCAAATTCTTCCAAGTACTGAAGATCTCGCGGTCCAGTATATTCCTCCACCTTCTCGCCATTCCGGAGCCAAGCAATGTGCGGCACTTGCGTGACATTGAAACTCCTGCAAACTGCCGCTGAGGCCAGGCAATCGAACTCAGCCACGCATATGTTATTTCCTTTCATCGCTTTAGCCAGCGCTATCCACTTGGGTGCCAGTTGGATGCAGTAGAAGCATTTGGGTGAATAAAATTTGATGAAAAACACTCCAGATGCTACGGTCTGCGTAAAGGTTCCAGGAGTCAAGTGGTAAACATTGCCTGGCACACACCGTAAAGCATCGTTGGAGCCACGGCCCACGAATTCTCCGCCACTATTGTGGAGCCCCAAGGACTGCTGCAACGTTTGCAGATTTAGTGATCCGTCGATGAATCTGTGCTGCTCTCCCCTCTTTTGGAATATGCCCACAGTTGGATAATCAGTAACATTCAGCTCATGGCAAAAGTTCCCATGCTTGATGCAGTCAAGGGTTCCAACTGTGATATTCGTATTCGATCCGGCCTCCAGGATGGTGAGAAAGTAATTCAATTCTAATCTCAAAGAAGCACAGCTTTTGCAATTGGGCACATAGAACTCAACCAGGAAAGTCTGATTATCTGAGGAGCTCTTGAAACTGTTAGGATTCAGTGGAATCAGCCATTGCCTCTTTTGAAATTTTGCTTGCACGACCAGGGATGCCAAGATGAGAAACGTAATGAAGCACAGGCCGGTTTTACCTAACATAATTTTAAAATTTAACTAGCCTTTCACACAAAACTCAACGGCATCTATACAAATTCAAGTTGAAAGTGCCCGAGGCGTGAGGTGCCCGGAATCCGATGGGGAGCACTGATGAGATGGGTTGACTTTAAAGAAATTCGTAGGCCACATTCAGGGACTTCAATAAACGATGCGAGATTGCAATCCCATAACTGCATTTTCATTTGGACTTAAATCTGCTTCATATAAGTGGATTCAATTTTGTATGAAATGAATTTTAATTGTTCATACCACACCCGAAATTATATCAATTTTCTCCCCAATAAAATCCCAGCTAACTAAGCTATAGGTTTTTTCAAACCCTCATATACATGGAGTCCATCCGACATTAATAACAGCAATCGCAAAGAATTGGAATAGATTATTAAATATTTCGTACCAGATTGAATCGCATTGGTATATCTGTTATACCGCAGACAGGGTATGCAATAATAGTCCAAGTATTTCTGATCAGAACAGAGCTTTATTCAGTTATCATCCAGCCTAAGAGCCTATTATAACACTTTATCTATTTATACAAATGATTGACATATCTCATCATGAGCTAATATCTTGCACTCTCTTGGAAAATTACAAAAAATCTTATTCCAGTTGAAAAATCCCGCTCCAAGCGAAACAAAAATTATTTTTTGCCATCAGCCATCAATTTTCAATGATTTTATTAATTGTTGCAGCAATTGCAAAGCAATGGTATAGATTATTAAGCATTCGACCTTCGTAATAAGCAGCGAGTGAGACCCATCAAGCTCTTGTTTGTATATCTGTTATACAATAAAAAGGTGTACAATGTACGAATATTTACTGATCGAGACTTCATTCCAAAACTACATGCTGAAGTTATCTAGTATATTCACTTTAAAATATATATACATAATGTATGTGTCTTAGATATAAAATTCTCGTGTCACGGTGTTTGTTGCCAAACTCCTCCGAAACGGTTCGATCGATTCTCACGAAATTTTGTGTGTAGGTCGGGTAGGTCTGAGAATCGGCCAACATCTATTTTTCATGGCCCTAAGTTTAAAGGGAGGGCCACCCTTAATTTGTTTTTTTTTTTTTTTTTTCATTTTTGACGCAACGACCTTACGATTCCATTCAGTGACTCAATGTACAAAGAAGCATTAATTGCTATTGAGGATCATTGCATTGCCATTGAGACAATGTAAATGTAGGTTTGATAACAGTGACAGCTTTCGTTTATGCTCTCATGTTAAACAATTATTCATTCACATTTTATTAATACCTGAACGTGATTAATAAATATAAGTGTAAAGGTAAGGCAAATAATGACCAATCGAATATAATATTACGTCACTGTTTATCACCAAACTTTTTTTCCAATTGATTTATTTATGTTTGACAAAAAGACAACAATGCCACGATAAGGCAAGGGGGTTAATTTGAGACGTCGAACACTCAGATCACAAAGATCAGATGACGAAAGGCAACAAAGCAATACATATATCCGTGTGAGCAATCCACAGACAGCAATTCTGAATGCTACACACTTTGTCCCGCATGAACATATACGAAGATCGTATACATGCCTCCGACGCACTCAACGACTAGCAGCTAGTGCATTGGGAAAAGATAAGGGTCACATGTACGGACTCTATAAATAGACAGATGAAAACTAACCCTTGCAATCCTAGCGACAGATTATATAAGAGACGAGCGCTGAGCCTTTCAAACTCTGCGATAAGATAAGAATATGTAATAGACCAATGCTGAGCGTTACACAGCAATAGACACGCTAGATTTAAGGGTTGAAAATATGCATGAGTCTAGGTATATAAGCCCAGGCTCAGAAGAATGAAGATCAATACGAAGCTAAACACCATCATAGTCAAGTGTATTCGTTCAGTGGGTTCATTGCTATCAATGCCAAACGAACCTTATAACTGCATCCCCACACACTTATAGTAAATTAGTTATTTTGTATTTAAGTACAAAATATTCCTTAGAAATAATGGATATGACATATGATAGTATGTATCATACAATTCATTTTCATAAATATTCCATACGACTTTGAGTTATATCATTATAAAGAGTTTTATTTTCATTGATCAATAAACGTAAATATATATATATTTTGAAATTGTTTATGTTTATGCTCGAGGAGTGTGTCCAATCATAATAATGTTGCTCGTATATAGCGACAATTGTATATATATTTATACATACATGTGTATGTGTGTGTGTGTGTGTTGCCATAAAACTACTTACAGAAGTTGTAAAGCGACATTCGCATGGGAACAATAAAATATCAAGACATATATANAAATATATATATCTTATATATAGTAACTGTATAAGTGCTGCCCAGGGCAGCGCTTCTTAAGCTTTCACACAAATACAAGCGTTCAGGGTGTCCTTGGCCAGGATCGTCTCACAATTGCCCGTTGGATAAACATACCGATAATACTTACTACAAACATCAATAAATATATGTATATATGCAAGCAAGCAAGCAGGTGTGCGTATGTATGTGTGTGTGTATCACCTATGTGTGTGTGGTATAGCACTAACAAGAATAGTAATTGAAACAGAGACTACATTAAAATTGCGAATAATTATTGAATAATGATTTCTGTGCCAAAACTCTAGTCGAAATATGTTGGAAAAAGTTAATGTTTTAATCTCGTATTTTAAGTAATTGTTTATATAGTATTTGCTTTGTGATCTGTGTAATAAATAGACTTAACGAACTATCAACTAAATACAATAGTTTCATATAACGTTTATCGCTTAGAATTCTATGCCTATTTACAATGATAATTTAAGAAAATATTTCTACAATGCTCCGACACAGCAGAGGAAAATCTATAATAATATGGATAATTGATATATATGTATTTATATATATATAAGCTGAATAATTATGTTTATGTACAATAGTAAATACTTAGAAAGTTTTTCGATTAAATAATACATACATACATACGTGTATGTGTGTGTGTGTAAGGAAACTTAGAGAACAACAATGGGTTAACGCATACGATATAGGGTTTTCTTTAAGAGATACATTTATAACAAATTGGTACAAGTTCCAAATAATTTGTAAGTGACTGAGTCTTCAGTATGTTCATATGTGTCTGGTATATAGATCTAAAGATATATATATATTCTTGTACGCATGACAAACAAAAGATATTTAAAATTCAGTTAGCTTTTAGCTTTAACGATTGCCCAACGATTCGGGCTCCGCTCAAAGCGAGATCTATACACTTGGCTTGGCGCCTTTAAATATTTCTGGGACTATACGATTATACGAAAGTCTACACAGAATTATCGAAAAATATGAAACAGAAACAAGTCGAGTTGTAGTCATGTAGGAGTACATTGAAATACACATATGTATATACAACTCGCAACTGTGTGGGCGTTTATCTAGTATATATAGTATATAGATATATATATATATATTCTTGTGTGCTCGCCAAATCCTTCTTCTTCTTCTTCTTCATTCTCTTTTACAGCCACGAAGTGCAATCCAATTATCTCAAACCAAAGTCTCTGCCTTTACAAATATTTGTCTGTCTCTTCGCTCTCTCTCCTCCAGTACGAATCCGTTTATCATCTATATCATCTTCTAGTCGCCGAGTATCATCATGCTCTTAATGCTGGCCACCTCGGACTCCAGTCGCTCCAGCTGGCTCTTCAGCATCTGATCGCGCTCCACATTGGAGACGACGGCCACCGAGACGACAGCCTCCTTCGGAGCGAGCAGCTTGCGCTGGAACTGGGCCGTCCACTCGGCACTGCCAATCGAGATGCCCGAGTCGCGCTCGTCACTGGAGTTGTCACCGCCATCGTTCCACGCCGGCGGCGAGGAGCGGTTGCAGCTGGGCTCCTGCTTGATGTGCTGCAGCGAGAGCAACGCCGTCGCAGCCGCATCCTTGTCGCCCAGATGCGATTTGTGGCGCAGCTTCAGGGGCAGACAGTTGTTGGCCTCATTCATGCCGCCAGCGCCATTGTGCGCTGGGCTGCTGCGCTGCATGGGCGCCAAGTGGGTGCCATGGGCAAGCGCATGCGGATCCGGATGGATGGCGCCTTCGGAGCCATCGTGCTCCTGCTCATCGTCGCCAGAGACGGCACCCGACGAGGAGGCGGACGATGACAGGGCTGAGGAGGCAGATGAGTGATGGGACGTCAAGGATGTGGTCGAGGACAGCATGTGCTCGTAGCTGGGTGAGCAGGCGCGCCTTGACAGATTCAGCACACTGGCCGCGGCCGAGCTGACCACCGAGGAGCAGGAGCTGCTTACGGCGTCGACCGCACTGCTGCTAACGGCGCCCTCCACGCTGTGACCGTGCAGGTAACTGGCCTCCAGCTGATCCTTGCTGATGGCCACATAGCCAGATGCTGGTGAGGATCCATTCACTGTGGCAGGCGTATATATTGTGGTGCCTGCCGGCGTGCCAGTGCCCACAGCAGCTGCATTGTAGAGAGCCCCGACGGCCACCACCTTGCGCAGGCTGTCCAGATCCTCGGGCCTGACGTTGCGGTGGAGTGCCTGCTGGAGCACATGCAGATTGGCAATGGCGTTGGTCGGCGGGCGGTTGTGCGTATCCATTGTGGAGGGGGCAGCATCCTGCACCTGCTGATGATGCGACTGTTGCAGCTGCTGCTGCTGCTGTTGCTGCAGCTGGTGGTACTGGTGTGGATGCGGATGGGCCTGAGCATGAAGTGGCGCCGGCGGCGGCGGACCGTGCTGGCCCACGTGATGTCCTCCCTTATTGCTTACGGATGTCAACGACTCGCTGCCGCGAGCATTGCCCGCATTGACATTGCTATTCGGGCCATAGATGATGGGGGAGAGCGGCGGGGCGTTGTTGCTGCTGCTGCTGTAGCCGCTGTGTGTGTGCGAGGCCGGGGAGCTGCAGCCGGCGCCGGAGGGCGACGAGCCCGACGAGGAGGAGGAACACGAGTTGCCGCTGCTCATCTTGGCGCGCTTTGTA